GTCATATATGAAAGAATGAACGATAAGGTGGACTGGAGAATCAATTACTTGTTGCACATTATTTTATTCCAACATAAAAGTCTATAGGCCTAAGAACTAAACTTACATAAAAGAAATACGTAAAAAATGCACTATACATTCAAATCGCTGTAGAAATATTAACCATCACCCCTTGCCTGCCCTGGCGTCCGATTTCGTGATATTGATTCACTCGGTTTAGGAGAAAAAAATAATGTTTCTGTAATTAAATAAAACGCCGTGAAGTTTCTTTAACGAAAGAACATTCGCTCAGCGTGAATCCAACAAACAGTGTTTTACTCAAGCGAAAAATAAAACACCCCGCGGGCTCGCAGGCTTAACAACAAACTCTTGACATTCGCTTCTCTCCCTGTAAAAACACACTCAGTCGCGACGGATCGATAGTTTGAATGGCCTCATTTAGCGCAACGCATCCTACAGCACGCAGCGCTATATCTGCAGACTTCCACGTAAGCCTGTCGTTAAGACAACTGAGAGCTGAACTCATACAACATGAAGTCAGGCTTGATAAGAGACTTCAATTACCACGCCAAACAATCTCTCCTCTCTAAATTATTCATCTTAACACGCTATGCTTTGGAGGAGATGCTGTTCAGATTCACTTAACTCCTGAGAACAGAGCATCGGTGGAGATAAAAAGATAGAAACAAAATAGTTATTTTTAAAGTTATTTTAATGACAGCAATGTTATATAGCGAGCGAAAGGAAAACGCGGCAATGGAGGTAATTAAATGCTAAACGAATAGAGATAGCCTACTACGCACAAAAAAAATAAATAAAATAAAATAAAAAAATACACTATTTTTTTGCATAAAAAAAAATACAGAGAAAAACTAAATAGCCTAAAGAAATGTGTTTCTTTTTAAAAAAGTTAAAAAGTAGGCTACTAACCAAGCTTTAACTGCAAACCACATTTTATTTCTTTTCTTTTTTTATAATTTTCTTTTTTCCTCTCTTTTCTAAAAAAACATGCTTTTATTCTCCTTATATCAAGTGCATGCAGAAGTTAAATCGTAAATATCTTCTGTAAATAGGCTAACACATCTGCAGGTTGCTTAGTTATAGCATCCGCACTGGAGCGTTTCTATAAAGCCCAATTCATTACAGCAGCTCACTGTCATCTAATTACTATCACTGAATAACCCGAACGACATATCAGTCAGCTAAAAGCGTTTTATGTCATTTACTGACCATAGTCGCTAATCTAGAAATTAAAAAGCGAGTTTTAAACAGAGTCTAAAACACCCGCATAAAATGTTGCAATTATAGCCTAAATATACAGAAGAAATTGGAAAGGTTAACCAATCTAGATCATTGATTTCGGCGTTATCACAATATTACAGAACCTACACCTCCACGACCATAACCACACACACATATAGGCTACACACACACACACACACACGTATCTGATCTTTCCGAGTATAGGGTGAAATGGCGGTGGACGAATGCAACAGCAGTGCGCGGTCAACAAACAGTGGTAAAACAATAACTCTCTCCCTCTCTCGCTATTTAACACAAATAGTTTAGCAGCCAATTCTTAAAGACCAAAATTGAATTCAATATAATCAAAAATAAATAACAATAGCACCAAACAAGCGAGCAAGCATTCAAAATGTATTCTCAGCGAGTACTACGATCAAATGAAATGTACATAGTACGGTGAGATAACAATCACCAAACATGTAAAATCATTGTAATGTAGGTTTAAGTAAGTAAAGGGTGAAATGTGTGCTCTTAATGTTGTCTGTAGCCTAACCTGGAGGCGCCGTATCTCGAGCGCTGGATGTTCAGGAGGAGAGAGTCTCTCCAGTGCACCTAGGCTGTGATTGGCCAACAGCACTGACAGCTCCCCCGCTGATTGGCCAGGAACAGATGCCCGTCCCACTTTCACTCCAGCTAGAGGACCATTCATAAACTAAACAATTCCAACACTCACGGCTGAGTCTGGACAACTGCACACTGGCGCACAGTTTTCATGCGCAAACACAAGTGAAAAAGATGATGACATGACGCGCGGAGATTTATACTTCAACTGATAGGCTACCGGCAACAACTTAAACCTTAAAACCTTTTCAAGTTGAGTTGGGAAAAGTCGCACTGCGTTGCATCCATCCGTTTCCTGGTCCAAATTTGACGTCTATCCGCTGTGGGCGCAAACTTCATCACTTCTTCCTTTTTTTTTTTTTCTTTTTGCTGGGAGTTGTGCCTCTGGCTCCACCGGTAAGCATTGGATCCATCGGCGTACTGCGAAACTCCGGTCTACAGTCCGGATCTGTGCCCTAATATGATTGCAACGCAAGCAAAGCTGGTTTACCAGCTCAATAAATATTACAACGAAAGATGCCAGGCGCGCAAAGCGGCCATCGCCAAGACCATACGAGAGGTGTGTAAGGTGGTGTCGGATGTGCTGAAGGAGGTGGAGGTCCAGGAGCCCCGTTTCATCAGCTCCTTGAGCGAGATAGACGCGCGCTATGAGGGCATGGAGGTCATCGCACCCAACGAGTTTGAAGTCGTGCTTTACTTGAACCAGATGGGAGTCTTCAACTTCGTGGATGACGGCTCTCTGCCGGGCTGCGCGGTACTCAAACTCAGCGACGGCCGTAAGAGGAGCATGTCTCTGTGGGTGGAGTTCATCACCGCCTCCGGTTATCTGTCGGCGCGAAAGATCCGCTCCCGCTTCCAAACGCTCGTGGCCCAGGCCGTGGATAAATGCAGCTACCGGGACGTGGTTAAGATGGTGGCGGACACGAGCGAAGTGAAACTGCGCATTCGGGAGAGATACGTGGTGCAAATCACCCCGGCCTTCAAGTGCACGGGCATCTGGCCTAGAAGTGCAGCTCAGTGGCCCATGCCTCACATCCCGTGGCCAGGGCCGAACCGGGTGGCGGAGGTGAAAGCAGAGGGTTTTAACCTCCTCTCGAAAGAGTGCTACTCGTTAACGGGGAAACAGAGCTCAGCGGAAAGCGACGCCTGGGTTTTGCAGTTCGCCGAGGCCGAGAACAGGCTTCTGATGTCGGGCTGTAGGAAGAAATGTCTCTCTGTTCTAAAGACTCTCCGGGACCGACACCTCGAGCTGCCGGGACAGCCGCTCAATAACTACCACATGAAGACCCTGCTGCTGTACGAGTGCGAGAAACACCCGCGGGAGACTGACTGGGACGAGTCGTGCCTCGGCGACCGTCTGAACGGCATTCTGCTGCAGCTCATCTCCTGTCTGCAGTGCCGTCGGTGCCCACATTACTTCTTACCCAATCTAGACCTGTTTCAGGGTAAACCACACTCAGCCCTGGAGACAGCGGCCAAACAGACCTGGAGACTGGCCAGAGAAATCCTAACCAACGCTAAAAGTTTGGATAAACTGTAAGATGCAAAAGGAGGACATTTATTGTTTGGGACGTTTGAGATCACAACACTGAAAGTGGAGAGAATGTGATCGTGGTTCTCTCTGAATAATAAAACCAAGAAAATGAAAGATTAAAATAAAACTTAGCATTTGCTTTTGCCAACGGGACATTGCAGGAGAGAGACATGAAGGTACATTTTAAAATAAGTGTAATGATTTTGTTGTTTGTTTGAACTGTTTTCACAAAGTGAAAATTTTATTTAAATATATGCACAAGATCTTTAATTGCGAATTACAAAATGTAGCGTGCCAAGTTCAATTTTTTTCATGATGGGATCAAAAAATTGAAACGTGTAATAAAATCATGACACGGTGAAATTTAAACTTGGCAATTTGTCATTACTTAATTCAAAAACTCTTGACATTAATGGGACTGAAATACATAAGCATAAGACGCATGCATAATTAAGTGTATAGTTTTGTGATTTGTCTTCGCTATAAACAAAAGTAATATTACAGTGTGTGTTTGTGAACTGGCCTTTCAATTTAACTCGTAGAAAACGAAACGTAGAAAATACGCGTGGCCTGTTACTCTGAGATAAAAACGGAGATTTATAAAATAGACGTTAAATAGAGCGTTAAAAATGGAAATAATGGAGAGCAATTTGTAAAACAGAAGACCACATACACTGCTAAATAAAATGTCAAAAATAAAACGTAAACAACCGATCTCTCACAATACAACAGTAGGCCTTCATTTCACTGATTAAAAACCAAATATGCATCACAAAAAATATAAAAAAATGTTTAAATAAAGACACTGCGTTTTTTTTTTGTTTTTTTTTTTACTTTTTCGACTGAATTAATAATAATAATAATAGGCTAATTATTGGAAGTAATTTAGTTCACTCTGGATATCCCTGAAAAAAAGAAAAAACTTATATTTTATTATTGAATAGAAAAATAAAAAAGCAGCTTATTAAAATTAAAAAAACCTTCTGAATAAAAATACGTAGACAATGTTTACAACAAACAAACATACAAATAAATAAATAATCTAAAACAGATATTCTGTTTTATTCTGGAAAAGTAACCATTTTAGCCTACAATTCTGTTAAACAACAAATTATTATTATTATAGCTTTTAAGAAAACAACTTTTTTGAAAACAGTATATTTGAAGTATATAAACATAAAAGGACATTAAGGAAATACTGAAAGTTGATAGTTCTTAAACAGTCAAAATAAAAGTCCAAGCAAATCCAGCATTCACAATAATATATTCCTCTTCAAGCATTCAATTTCCGTTGGCACACCTCAGTTATAAGCCAATGCTGATGGCAAGTAAAACTTCAATAGCCTTGACCCTCAAATGTTATGAACAGTTGAAACACATGCAACATGCTATGAGGAAAGAGAGCACTCTTTTCTGTCTTTGTGTTATGATATATGATAAGATGACCACAAATAGTGAATACTCACAAACTCTGCATGGAAAGGTACTTAAAACACTGGTGTTTCGAATATACATTAAAGGACCAGTGGCTGGTCACGCATTTTTAGTGTGCACATCTCATGGGACATTTTGGAGTCATTTTGGATGAGAAGCCTCTTACCTTGGGATCAATGTCCTTAAAACTTGGGTCTTCATCATCCACCTCAAAGTATAACTCTAGTGCCGTGATGGACAGTGTGCCTTTTACCACTACAGCGGGTGCAACCAGCTGTGCGCTGGTGCTCAGGTTAACAGGCCCTACGGATCACAGAAGAGCACAACGGTTAGTGTGTGTGTGTGTGTGTGTGCCTCCCCCACCCTCTACTGCCCTTGGCATAGAAACCATTTCAAAGGAGTAAGTGTTTACTTGAACACATAAACTCAACAAGGGCGCATATTGACTTCCTGATAGAACATCTTTAGTTTTAATTAGCTTGGTGCAAAGTCTTCAAAGTAAAGCTAGAGTCATTTTAGGATAATAAAGTTGAAGTCAAATGATAACTTCAAACACACTATAAAACATGATTTAGGATGATTTAGGCTAAATCTTTTTTTTTTTTTTTTTTTTTTGCATGCACAATTTAAATAAAAATAATAATGAATAATAATATCAATGTAAATAAAGTAATGCTACTCATATAACTTTATAATATTACAACTTTCTTAATATTACTGTTTAGCAACTGAACCATGAAAAAATGAAGATTTGTTAAATGTAAACAAATAGCTAAAGCATTCATTAATAATTCAGGCTATTTAACAATTAATTGAGAACAATTTAAACAATTTAAATTAAAATATATAGCCTATTTTAAAAAGCAGATTCATTAAAAAAAAGGATTATCCCCTGCACAATGACATATTTAAGCGCTTCATCTGTCATTGAAATGGTAGCCTATAGTCTAAATGTCAAAAAAGCGCTGAAATCCGCTGTCAATCAGCGCTCATTGATTGCGGGCTTTGGGTTTAATCTGTCATCAATCTTAATGTATGCCAGAATGACAATGTTGAAGGGTTGCTCTGGGGAATTTCTGCCTCTCTGCATGCGCAAAGCATCGGATTTGCGCTTGCAAACTGCCGTTGCAGTCAGCACGACCAGAAGCCCGTGTTTGATTTCCCCAAGCACCCTTCAACTCACAGACGCATGGCATGATCAGATAAGTTCATCAGCATGTAATACGGCTGAGAAATAACATGTTTTTTCCTCCCTTCGAAACCGGAACACGTTTCAATTAGCCTACACCTGAATCAAACAGCTTGCTAAATAGATGATCGGCAACGACGCGAATCTCCAGGATAATTTGCACATTATTTGAGAGATACTGGCTTTTATTAGGCCTATAGGGCAGACTCACAGCCCAAATAAGATCAAACATTTATAAACGCGTTAATTACGAAAACAACGAGTCAAAATAGATCAAATAAAATCCGATTTATGCTATGTTCGAATGAACAGATTATTAATGTTACAGTTACAGATATTAATCCCTAAAGTTTTGCAATTTAGCGAGCTCCGCGTCCGCGAGACCAACTAAAAGTTGTCATTCATGCTCTTCGTCTACTTTAAATTCAAAACTGTTAAAAGCTTAAAATAGCCCTTAAAATGTTATTTAAAATAATTGTAAAGATATCTATTCTTAATTCACCCTTGAAAAAATATAATTTAAGCGTGTTTTTTTTTTTCTCGGAAGAAAAAAAAATATTTTAATTACACAGATTCAAATACAATTGTGTTGTTTAGCTAATAATGAATGTAGACCACATTTAAGCATTATTTTCGTTTATATTTGAACCCATCTAACCCAGGGTATTGCAAATAATTTGATTATTAGTTGTTTTAAAGCATGAATTTTTAATTCACCGCAGAGAACCTGTCACGAATGTGGGCCTTCGAGCGCTGTTCAGCCCTCACTCAAAAATAACCCGATCACAGGCAGCTAATGAGAGGACTGCCTCAGATAATGGTGTGATCCCCCTATTAACGGCTGAGGAGGAGGGGGTGACACTGCTAGAGCGCAACGGAACAAACCAGAACGCTGCCGTTATATCAACGGAGCTGGCTGAGAGCGCGCGCCCAGTACAGAGAGAGCTTCTATAACATGCGCGATGCTGCGCTGATGACAGGCGCGTTCTAGTTTGTGCGTCGCTAGGCGGCTGTTCTTTACCTGTGAGGTTCTCCAACTCTTTCTCCTCCAAGGATGAGAGAGTGTCGTCGTCCTCCAACAGCAGCTCACTCTCTGAGTTCTGCTTCCCCAGCACTGAACCCCTGATGGACTGTTTACCTTTCAGCACGTCCTCCTCTGGAGCTGCACAAAGCAAAACATCACATTCCTTCAAGCGTAACCGCGCAAAAACTTAACGACTGTCAGTTTACGTGTAGCATACTCAGGTAAGTTGACGACACAAAAGCTTAAATAAAATAAAATGCGCTTGTTATTTTATTATATTATTTGATATAGCCTATTCATATTGAAACTCTAAACACTGAATCAATAGCCTAGCTTACTTTTTAAACAGTATTGGGTGTTCAATAGCATATATTTTTCTGTCCCAATAAAAGTTAAAATGACAACAAATACGAGCCGCTACATATATATATATATATATATATATATATATATATATAACATTTTCACTTGCATTATTGTAATAGTCAGAATATTAAAACATCTAATTTGCATAATGACGGTAACTTGTCATGGAGAAATTCATAGTTGATTAAAATAAGTCGATTTGCATAAAAGATGTAGCTGAAATTTCACAATATCCAGACGGTTATTTAGAACACAAATATTTTTCTTTCAAAATAGTAATTTTACCTGATAATTAAGAATTAATAATAAATAAATAAAAAACATTCAGCTGACAGCTGATCATGTCTTGATCATCACAGTCTCATGAAAATGCGTATCTATACCACGAATGTCATTTATCGTGGCATTTATAAATTATATGCCAACAATGTTATGTTTGCGTGCATATGCTATGCACTAAAAAACCCTGGGGTAGGTTTAGGAGGGAGGGGGTGGGGAGTTCGTGCCTATTACACGCAATAAAGTGCGTATCATATGCACGCGAAAAACGCGTACCATATACACGCAAAAAAACTGTTTTTGGCGTATAAATGGCATGCGAAATGACATTCGTGCTATAGATACGAACTTGCATGAGACTTTATGATTCAATTAGTAAAGAAAATTTACAAAGTATATGTGCTTGATTATGCTATAGAATCTAATAACTAAGATATAACTGTTAACATTAAATCGTTTTGAATTACATTTAAACTGAAAGCCCATTTCCAGACATATATCCGGCTCCATATGCCAAGCTTCCCCCTGACAAAAATCAGGAGTGGCCCTGACTGATTTCAACAGTACATGACTTGAGGTTCCGCATAGATTATTTAAGAAAAATGGTAATCTGTAAACATTTACAGAACACCGCATTCCCAAGTCAGGGGCAAGAATGGGTCTACAGTAGAAACAAAGGCAATCCTTCATCAATGTAAACCGAGAGAGGTGAGGGGCAGTCTCTCGTCAGGCTGATTTGGCCTACTGGAGCTACACAGAGTCCAGTCCTGGACTGTGTGGACGCAGAGCCATGTGACCTCTGCCCTCTGTCCCCAGATACATCACCTGAGGGGGTTTGCATTTGCACTTGAAGCAAAACCCTGAGACAACTCTTTATAAATAGAGCCCTAAACCATTAGAAAAGCAGAGTAAAGAAATCTCTTGTCATGGAAAGTATGCTGGCGCACTGATATTTAGAACGGTCTTCCTGTAATTAACTCTCCCCAGAGAATTTGTAGTTAGCAGCAGTGAAATTACTACCAGCTTCCTAATACATACCACATGCCTGTGTGCTCACGGCAGAGAGAGTGGACACAAGGATGTGACAGAAAAAATGGTGTTACTTCTGTGCATTCCACCACAATAACATTTAATCGGATTTACTATTGTGTCTGAAGTTGAAATGTACTGACTTCTTCCCAATTCTTTCTTTGTCAGTACAGGCTAAACTGCTGAAAATGTTGAATACATGTAACCCAAAATAAGACTACAGGAGTAGCCTATATATTATTTAATATCACAAGTTTCAAGGAAACGTTGTGATGTCCAGCCCCATTTTTTTTTATGTAATAACTTGTGCTACTAACACTGATGAGAAATAGGTAAGAAAACTTCGAGAAGAACAAATATTAGCATGAAGATATTATAGTAAAAGTAAAACATGAAAATCAATCACAATAAAAACTATGTTTTCATGATTTGTTATCACAACATGTTTTCTTTTGTCAAGTCAACTCAAATAATTAATGTGGTTCAGATAACATAATATTTTGAGTTTCTGATGATTAAATCAATCTCCTTCATTGTATGAACTCAATTTTTCCAGTTCAATGAACTTAAAATTTTAAGGCAACCAGGTTACTTCATTTTTTAAGTTAAACCAACAATATTTTTTTTACAGTGTACATTTGTAAAGGCCATTGCACACTGAGTCCGAAATTCGCGCCTGAAATTTTCACACGTTAAAAAATAAATGTCAATCACACTTGCACACTGCCTCCGAAACTTTCGTCCGTCTCAAAAAAAAAAAAAAAAAAAAAATCGAAACGGGTTCGATTTCCTGCGTTGTTCGCATCCGTAGCAAGCAGTTTGAATGGTATTTGAATGGTCTTTTGAAAATTCTGAGCCACCGAATCACGAATACGAAAAAACGCATACGAAAATTTCGGACTCAGTGTGCAATGGCCTTAAGTATAGCAATTATTTAAAAAAAAATATCTGTATTTTTTTAAGCATTTCCTTTGAAGTTTACTTTTGTCTAAGAATTTATAAGAGACCTCTCGCATTATCATTCTGCACATCCACTTAAATAATGCTGTCCAATCAATCTTTGGATCCCTAGTAGACTAAAAAAAAAATGGACTGTGTGCAAATTTACCTCAAAAAATTTACCAGTACCCTGAACGAGTCAAAAACCCATGTTGTAAGATTACATTCATACATCAGCTTTACTTAAATAGCTCATTCATTCCCCTCATTCAGCAAATGCTAATGTAAATACGTGCAGTTGCGTTACACTTTTAAGCTCTGTTTCCCTTTTCCGTGCAGGTTCAAATGCTCATTTATATGCAACTACGGAGGCAAAGCAATTAAATTGTCAGAATTAACAAATTTGTTTTTAACACAAGTGCAGCCAGGAGTGAAGTCAGGAGGTGCTTATTGATCACAGGAACAGAGACATTAGTCTTCAGGTATTTACACTCGCCCAAAACCGTAGGCCCCACCGTGTCAAATCAATCCCCAGAAAAGATGGTGGTTTCCAGCCATAAATACATATCTTACCAAACTACCACTGTTTCCTGGCTGGCGATGAATGATTGCAATTGTGCGTGACAAAAAGAGAAGTTTTGATATGATATATTCTGAGTGATGAAAACGAAAATAATTAGCAAGCAAGTCTTTCTTTATTCATCAAGAAGAAACGCTGTTCCTTTTTTTTTTTAAATTAACTAAATTCTAAGTATAGACTACCGGACTGCTAAAAATGACAGAAAATTGTCTCTTAATAAATAAGTAAATAAATAAATTAGGGCTGTCAAACAATTAATCGCGAATAATCACATCCAAAATAAAAGTTACACTTCTCAGAAAAAAAAGGTACAAAAGCTGTGACTGGGGCTGTACCTTTTCAAAAGGTACACTTTTGTACCCAAAGGCTGCATATTGGTACCTTAGTGGCACATATTAGCACCTAAGATGGACACATTAATACTTCAAATGTACATTTTAGCACCTAAAATGTACATATTAGGACCTAAAATGTACACATTAGCAATTAAAAAGTATATATTAGCACCTAAAATGTACATATTAACACCTAAAATGTACATTTTAGCACTTAAAATGTCCTTATTAGCACCTACAATGGACAAAAGGTTACCTTTTGAAAAGGTACAGCCCCAGTGACAGCTTTTGTACCTTTTTTTTTTTTTCTGAGAGTGTAATATATGTCGGTGAACTGTGTATAATTATTTTGTATATATATATATAAATATAAATACACACATGCATGTATATTTAAGAACAAAATATATATATATATTGTATAAAATATATATATATATATATATATATATATATATAATGTATAATATAAATTATATATAAATCTATATACGGTATATACATGAAAATATTTCTTAAATATATACAAGCATGTGTGTGTATTTATATATATAAAATAATTAAACACAGTGCACCCACATATATTATGTAAACACAAACTTTTATTTTGGATGCGATTAATCGCGATTCATCATTTGACAGCCCTAAAATAAATAAATCATGACTTTCTTCCACATGTCATGCAGATAATCACAGCCAGATATGACCCTTGTGCACTGTGTGAAAACTTGAGATCTTGCCCGAGACTTTCATTTCACTTCCGCAACAAATTTCGGGTCAGCAGAAAAGACACAAGCGCTCTATGGAGGAGAGGGGCAGACAAACATCAATGTTATGAGCGGCAATGTTATTTAACTGCTAAAGTATCTTTCAGTTGTCCATTCACTTTCCCACCCTCCCATCTTTTTATAGTATTTTGTTCAAATACTAAATTATTTATGAAATATGCTCTTGAGTCATAATAGCTGTTTTTGTGTTTGTCCAATATAGGTTTTTAGCTAAAGTTAAAGACTATTAATATATGCACATAAATACTTGATGGATAGATTGATTGTTTCCTGCGCTGGATGGACACTGGGGAAGAGTTTAATGAAGGGTTTTAAGGGCTCAAAGTTTTAGGTTCCATTTCAAAGACGATTCAAAGTGTTCCTTAAGGAACACTTGAACTTAACCAAGTCCCAAGTTAGTGAAAGAAAAAGAGAGGAATACAGAGAAAAAAACGTAGAGGACGAAGCAAAAAGAGAGAAATCATTGGTTCCCCTCAGGGCCCTCCATCCAGCTGCATATTATGACCATTAGGGCGGCACATCGGTCTCTAAGGATGCTGGGATTCTGAGCACTTATTGCTTTTAGATCACATTCTTATTGACTTCTGTCACATTGGTCGTTTGTCTTAAGGACCTGTGTCATTCTAAGGGGGGACTGAGCAGTGACATATTGGAGACATTTTTTTTTACTTTCTCAGAAATGGCCCCATTTCCAAGGGTTGCAATAGGTTAAGCTGTTCAAGTCCAAGTACTGAATGGCAATGATTGTAAAGCCTGCTATCTCTAGGTGTGGCTAAAAACTCATCAAGAAGTCTGTAAAACATTTTACTGCATTGCTGCAGTGAATGAAGGGGTACGGCTCCTTTTTTAACAACCAAAAAGAGAAAGAGGAACGGATAAAAATCAGATGCACTTACCGAACATTTAAATACGAGGAGAATGTGTTTTACGGAGAAGCAATAATAACAACCTTAAATGAGAAGGGAACACAAGCCCCTGATGAGTGTAATAACCCCGACTTTACTTTGATAGCATGGTAAACACCAATCTAGAATGAATAACTCATTATATTGTCATCAATATGTGGAGTTCATTATGGATTATAAGATGCATATTTCAAAAGAGACGACTTATTAAACAAATAAAACATGAGAAATGTATTATGAATAAATTATGCACATTTCATATAAATCTACACATTTCAGGGTGGAAAACTAAAGGCGCTTGTTTTTAATTCCTTTTCTTAAACAAGAGAATAATTAAAAATGCATTCACCTATTTTTTTCTGTATTAGATGTGAAAGGAAACTACATTTGCAACTATATTTTGCCTGTTCTGCAGTTAACAAATATATTTTCATGCTAAAAGTGAGAACTATTATCTAAACGTCTTTCTTTTCCACCACGTGTATCCCATTTATTCCTAGTGCAATTTAACTCAGACATGCAATAAGTGTTTTTCGACATAAATAAGAAAAACATGTTCTTTCATAATTTTTCTTTCATTATAGTTGTAATGTGTCTCAGATTTTATGATGCGATTCAATCGACAAAAAGAGTACACACCAGTGTTGGGGAATCACTAACTACATTGTGACATTACTAACTAAGTTTTACTTTATCCTAAGTTACTTTACACATGTTAGTGGAGTAGCATGACAAAACACTACATAACGCTTTCACATTGTTTTGCTCTTTATTTTGCTTTTATTTTGAACCAGTAGAAATGGTTCACTGATTCCAATCTCTGATAGTAGATTTTATGTAAATAAACTACAAAACTACTACTCTTTTGAAATAGTTCACTTCATTAAACGATGAGTAGCTTGTAACACAGCTGCGCACACATCTAACCCAAGCCCTTTGGCACTAGCTCTCCCATTAACTTCACAACTTCACTTACCTTTAATACCAGCAGCTGACATGCATAGGAAAGAAGGAAGACAGTGACAATTTAAGAACACTTAGCGATACTTAAATATCCAAGCTAATGAGAGGAACTGCACGTGGTAAATAAACAAATAAGCAGCAAATTACTTTCATAATTATCTGAGCGACAAAGGCCTCGGGACAGTGAGAGAATGTAATGTGCACATTTTTAAAGAGGCTTGTTGCACTATAAAGGTTTTACGGTGATTTTAGCTTTCATTTTTACAGCCGTGTACCTGTTATCACGGGTTAAAGCATTGCAGCTCGACAGACTGGGCCGCATTTGTGTGTGTGTGTGTGTGTGTGTGTGAAACAGTGTAAGCGCATGATACTATGTGACTATGCATCACCCACCATGCTCTGCTGCAGCCTTGAGCGTGGCCTCAGAGTGTGTGGAACCAAACGGGTTCCTGATGAAGCGTCGACGTCTCCTCAGGTCATCCTCCCAGTAGTCCAGGCGCCAGAACTCCCGTGGTCTGCTGCCGAGAGGAAGAGAGAGAGGGAGAGAGAGAAAGAGAAAGAGAGAGAGAGAGAGAGGGGGCACATATGTTAGCAATTAGCCGATGCAGTGAGAAGTGGCACAGGCAACGCTTCATAATAGCGGCCTTGTTTTGTTGCAACATTCTTCAGTGCAAAGTGCACAAACTACAGAATTGCTATAATTAGATACTAATAATTATGGTTAATAATACAATATACCTGGTCTGTGAAAATATTTGTTGCCAAATACCAAAAATGAGTATTCTTCATTCAGTGTTTAGAGATTGTTTTAAGGGTCTATTTTGTTTCAATTTTCATACCGTCCTATAATATCCTATTAATGTCCACCATTTTATTTTATTTTTGCTTGTGTATACTATTGTATTTGGATGTGCTATGGTCTTATGTTAATAATCTCAGCAACATTAACATTATGTGATCGGATAGATACATATAGCGGCCCCAAAAAATGTTAAATATTTTTTTTGGTGTGAAAAATAATCATAAACAAATTGTAAAATAATATAATGAATCCTGATAATTATACTAATTTGAACCAAGAAGCAATTATTCATATATATATATACTGTATATGAATAATATAATGAATATGCACATAAAAAAAAACACGTGTGCTCTAATTTAAGAAATCACACAGCCACAGAGCTCCAGAAGTGTTTGTCCTCGGGAGTAACGCTGAAGAGGAGACCCAGATTTTTGCAGCACCTCAAGAAGATGAGATGAGAGCTAAATACATCACAATGAGAATCAGCCTGCTGACACAGCAATCCAGCACACACACACACACACACACACACACAGACAGAGGAAGAGAGAGAGAGAATAAGGCAGTTCTGTGTTTCCAGACTCATTTCTGAGCCCAGCAGGACACCTTAAAGCAGGACGGCAGAGAAGAGGGAGCACATTTGACTCAATGTCCTTCACCTTCAGCAATTTTTCTCTCCAATTTGCACCTCTTACCACTGTAAAGAAAAATCCGGTTCATCCTCCCTCGTTCTCTTTCTTTTTTTCCCCATCATCTGCTTTTGTGTTTTCTCTCAGTGTGTGTGAACAGGTTCACTTTTAATGAGTCAGGCGAACAGTTATAACATATTACCCCATTTAGATTCAAAGGACTTTAATTAAAATAATCTTTTCAAATATTCATTATGTTTAGCCCCCTGAGATACAAGAAACATACAATTCGCATACCATAAATGAGTTTAATCTTCAAAAGCTTGTTTAATTTGAAATAGAAAGAACTCATTTCAGGTTAGGGGAGGGTAATTTGTTAGATCAAATTAAAGTCTTTTTTCTGCAATGGCGTGATACGTTAATTCCACGCATGCACACAAAAAGAAAAAAACTGATTTTGAACATGAAGAAAATCCAATGTGTGATTAAGGTAGAATGTGATAAAATAATGCTACATTGAATCTTATTGGGCTCAAAAATGAAGACCAATGATCATATGCCATCCACAGAGCCCAGAGCGGGCTGGCGGATCCTCAGAGATTCAGCAAGCGATAGAGGCTTGGCGGGGGGACGACAGCAAATGGCTTTAGCAGTGGCTCTGAAGCCGTCCTCCGGCTGATTTACTGTAAGAGTGGTGAAATATAACTCTCCAAGTCCATTCTGTTCCGTGGAAGTGAGAAGAAGTTTTATCGTGCAACAGGGCCTCCACACCCAGGCCAAATAAATCAGGATAACGGCCACTTAAGAGTCCTCCCCAGTGCTCACCTTCTTTTTTTTTTTTACGCCCGCATACTTTAACAATCGCCAGAAAACAAGCTATTATGACCTTAAAATACCATAGAAGTGAGAAGAAAAAAAAAACAGGAGAGAAAGAAAGTATTGAAAGGAGGAGTTCAGAAAATAGATAAATCAAAAAGTGGTATTACAAGTCTTCTCAGAATTAATGATTCTAGGAGAAATAAAAACAGACAGAAATACTTCTGGAAATAGTTATGGCATGCAAAATACACATTTTCAAATCCCATTTAAAATGACTTCTCTGGCGTATGGGGCCAAGACGGTTTGGGGTACCCGAGCAGTGCAGGTTTTTTCTCAGAAGTGTGATCGATCCACTCCACTGCAAGAGGCTCAAAACAAATCCCATCTCGTAAAACTGAAGAGAGAGCTTAAAATGCGAAAATAAAAACAAGTCTACACTTCGCTTGAAAAGCTCACCGGCTCGCCTAATAAGAGACATTAATAACTGATTTATTTAAGACAGGAAAGGAGATGTAATGTAAAGGGAGATGTGAGTTTTCCAGGAGAAACACAGCTCCTTAGAGACCATTTACGGCTCAGGCAGACAGCGGTGCCTTTCTGTTAAATGTTTCAAAGGAAATGTTTACACACAGAAAAGAGTACAACCAAAAAAAAAAGGCCTTAGAGTAACAACGGATATCTGGGCAAGGAATGAGGATCTACTGTAGCAAGTACACGCACAAAACACCCAGAAAATGCAGAAAATATTCGATGACTCCAGTCACAACGGTCCACCACATCACTAATGAATTAGATTGTACACATATCAGCAATTCAAAGCTTTTCTCAATTCTGACCACTTTAATTCTGCTCTGATGGAACTAAACATATATTATGTTCCCAGTGTGATGCAGTTGGCCTAAGCGTTGGCCTATTTTTATTTTCTTGCTCTATGCAATTATACTTTTAACTTAAAGAACATGTTGTAAATTATATTAAGAACAAAAATCTCTGCTTTTATCTAAATTGATTTATTCTGATCCATTGAATGGATTTCAGTTTTACTATGTCAATAACTATTTGCGGATACCATAAAAAAATAAAATGAAATAAAACTGACCTCTTATAAAAAATTTAAAAAAACAGACAAACAATGATGATACTGATTTTGTTTGTATCCATCCAACTATTTTTATGCACATTTTGGGATATCGCATCAAAAACTGCTGGATGAAAATGCCAAGATGCAAATAAAATAAATTCTAAAAATGTGCTCGTTTGAGTCGGATGAACTTTTTGTATGATAAGAAAACATGCGCATAAACTACGATGGAAACACATTTACAGAAAAAATGTGACTTTGTGTGATGGGAAGACACAACTGGACTAACCGGCAGAACAATCTTTTTGCACAGTATCTGAAATGCCTGAGAAAAGTCCGTCATCAAAGTGGTTCAGTGTAATTCCCTCTGAGAATTTGCTACAATTAGGGTGAAAACAGTTTCTAGAAATATTTTAAACAGCCACCCAAGTCTCATGATGTCGAGTGGTGCTAGGGATGGGCAACGATTAATCGCGATTAATCGCATCCAAAATAAAAGTTTGTGTTTACATAATATATGTGTGTGTAGTGTGTATAATTAATTTGTATATATATAAATACACACACATGAATGTATATATTCAAGAAATATTTGCATGAATATACTTATACGTATTTATACATAATTAATATTATATATAAATATAAATATTTGATATATTAATTACACATTTTTCTTAAATATATACATGTATGTGTGGGTATTTATATATACAAATTAATTATGCACACCACACACACATATATTATGTAAACACAAACTTTTATTTTGGATGTGATTAATCGCGATTAATCGTTGCCCATCCCTAGTGTGAACTCATAGAACTATTGTGTGTTCCCGAGCAACACAAACTGGTGTTTCATTCCTGAATGAATGAGTGAGTATTTTATGATACAATAGTTCAATGATCCATTCATAAATCCAGACACTTGCTTCATTCCTGAATGAATCAGCCAACTGAACAAATCAGATTAATTAATGAATCACTCATTAAGAGAGTGGCCTGCCGCAACCTTAATTTTAAATTTAAAGTAGCATTTTATTAAAAAAAAATAAAATAAACATTAATCTCACCATTATTTAGCCATTATTTTTGAATTGTACAGTAAATTCATCTAAATAGATGCAGCTTCTGTGGCACTTCTGCATTGCAAAAAAAGGATATTGTTGATAATAATTTATTTGATTGTAACCTAGTGTGTTATTATTCTTAATCTGACAAACAATGATCCATACAGTACATCCAAGCAAAAAAAAAAAAATCAATTTAAGGTAGCAAATATCACACACTATTGAAAGAGTTAATTTCTGTCACTCCACACAAAATATGAAGTATATGAAAAGCTTTGGGAGTCAGATGTCCACCGCACAAAAACAAAAAAAATTATTGTTTTTTGACAAAATTATTTATTCATTTTTTTGGTCAAAAATATTGCTGGAATTTGCTAAAGTGATAACAAAAATTTGGGCGATTGAAGCTGCTTCCTTTTAGCAATGGGAACAATAATTATTTATATCATTTTAATTGATAGAATTTACATGTTATAGTGAATAATTCGGTTCAGGCATTATTACAAATATACCCAATATTCACAATTCCATGCCAAAATTCCGGCCTGACTAACTCTGCAGACACATTTCCATTAAACAACAGGAACAAACATTGGTAGGAGTGAGACAGAAAGTTGGGTTCACTCCATAATGTCCCGTCTGTCTGAGAGCAGATTTCCCTCTATCTAAGTAGCAGCGAGGTGTTTGCACGTGATAGTTTCCTCCACGTAAATAGCCACTCCATCATTCTGGCTTCCAGTGTTCATTAATTAAAATGATTACCGAAGGCACAGAGCAGATCCAAGGAGCTCCTATCCTGTCAGTCTCTGAGAGAGCAGAGATACAGAGAGGATCAATCTGTCTGCAATACAACACCATGCCGGCCACTGCAATTAGTCGAGCAGCTGGAAACGCATTCACAGCCTCCACTGCCGCCCAGACACTGTGACAATAGAGCCCTAATGAAGGCCAAGGAAGTGTGTGCGTGTGTGCAATTCAACCACTATCAATCCCAGCAGCAGAATCAGCTGCACATTCCACGCAGCAAGTGTTTTCACAGCATTAATGAATTATTCATCCTTTCTCCCCATCCATCCATCCATCCCTCCTTCCAAATGGGGTTTCTAACAGGA